TTGATAACATCATGTTCCCAACACTAACGCAGGTCATCCAGATCTCCCTTACAATCACAATCAACAGCTGTAGTTGTGAAAGGTCATTCAGTGTGTTGAGAAAGCTCCACACTTGGCCAAGGTACTCAATGGGAAAAGACAGGCTCCATCATCTTGCTATTTTATCAGTTGAAAAGGAAGAACTTTCTAAGCTGAGTCACAGTCTAGTGATTGACCGCTTTGCAAAAATGAAACATAGGAGGTACACTTTAATGCTTATAAAATAAAAGAAAAACTTAGTTCAGGTTGAGTTAAAATTTCCCCTGAACTAAAACTCTGTAACCTAGGAATTAATGATTACTTCAGAATGTGTATAAGGAAACTTTTTATTTGACAAAGTTGTTGATGTCGTATTTTTTTATACCGGCAATGTTGAAAATGTTCATGTTTGTTAAAACAAATATGCTCTTACACTTATTAATATCTCAACTGGTAATTTTGGTAGGAATGTATCAGGGTGGGGCAGTGTGCTTGTTTGTATTTGTGTATGGAAGGAGGGGCATATGCAGTAGGGGGCCAGTGCCCCAGTAAAGCTTTGTGCCTAGCAACGCCCCTGGCTGGGAGAGACTTTATGCTGTTAGCAGTACTTTTAAACAGGTGATTTTGGTTGCTCTTAAAAGAGAAGTTAAACTTGGCTCTACAGAATGCATTAAATTACAAAAGTATCCCCACATCTACAGAGCTAATTGCTAGCATTTCTCTTCTATCATGTTACCTATGTTTTGCAAAATGTCCTTCATTTTTCTATAATCAAATTCCTTCTAAGCAAAGGTTATCGCTAATCTGATCGGAAAAAATTTTATCTAAAAGAAAACAAACAAAAAAAACACGACAATTTACAATAAGTTGAATAATTGTTTATGTCCTTAGCATTAACCAACAACCCAGTTAGCCAATTTTGGTAGGAGGAAGACTGCTAATGAAAATAATATTTTTTTTTCAGTAACAATAACCCATGAAGTTGCAAAGGAATTCTAAAGTGTCTTGTAATTGAAAACCAGCATTTTTATTTTACCTCTGTAATCTGTTTTTACTTTGTAACTGCAATGGAAATGAAGTGAGGCTAAAGAAGCGCCCCAGACTATTACTTTGGCCCCTATAAAAGGTTCCTGCAGTTAAGGCATGCCTCTAAAAAGCCATAATTACAATCTATGGGTGGCTGATATGATGATATTAGACTCTGAATCATCTGAATGTGGTGAAGACCTGCCAAAGCAAAGACTATGTTGTACGTCTGTGAGGGACAATCTTTTTTTTTTTCTATAGAGTGCACTTTACCTAAGTGCTCTTGCTGTTGTTCAAAGCCGTCAGAAATCAAGTGCACTAATGTCTTGAAATAGGATGAGATATTTATTAAATATAAATTGCTTTTGGTACAAGTTGGCAAAATTGTAAAAATGTATTTATGGAAAAATGATTTAGCCTGAATACTTTTTTTTTTTTTTACATGTATCTGCTTAGAAACTATACTTTAAAAGACATTGTGATAAAATTACGATTGCAATCTGCTTTAGTAAAGTCAGGATTTTATTCTTTTGTGTCCCCTCTCCACAAATATATTACCTTCCCCTTTCAGATTGTTGAAATCTAAGCCTGGTTTTTCATACAAAAGCATGTCCATTCTGTTTCCTGTAATGCAAGGAGGGCTGTGATGCACGTGTCAAGTTACATGTAATTAAAACTCAATTTGCCTCACAGCTACAGTGTAAGACTACATAATTTGGTAAATTAAGTACTTGTCTTAGTTTGAGAACTCATTATGGTTCTTTTATTTTTATTTTTTTTAAGTGTTCACATAAGAGGATAAAAAAGCAAGTTGAGTGTGGTCAGAGTGTTTGGATTGTCATTATGTATACTTGATTGATGAAGCTCATTAATACAAAATCAAGGTGAGCAGAATTATTTTAACTAATTGCAATTTAGTTAGTTTTGATGTGTTTCTTCATCGACATTATGTTCCCATACAGTGTTTCTTGCTTTTTCTTTTATACATCTTTGTTAGTCAAAAAGCAACATTCATATGTCTTAAATACACAATAATTTTTGTTTAGCAAATTTTGATCTTAGCAGATGTATTATCATACATCGTTTAAAAAAAGTATTTTAAGATATTTGCCTCTTAGCTATCTGAATATACAGAGTGATAAAGAAACAACTTGCAGGCAAACAAAAAGAAAAATATAATAAAACCAGTCATCACTAAAGTTATTTCAACTTGTCCTTGGCATCTCCTTGAAGTTTAGTTAACTAAGCTAAAATGAGCCAAACCAAAGTCAGTTCATATTTAAGTTACACCTAATCATATCAATATGAATCAAAGGGAAAATGTCTGCACGCTTTAAATAAAACCAACCTTTGAATGAAGAAATCAATCAGAACAAACTAAAATGTCTATTTTAACCAAATAAGGCTATACTTACTTACAAAAATCAAGGAACAAATCAAATTTTTTGGAAAAAAGCGGGTTACATTTTTGTTTAATATTCTTATCCTTTCCCCAAACCCCAGAAGAAAATCATTACTTCTACCCTTCTAAATATGCATGTGGTTAATTATGCATCTTGTTACCACTGGCTAATCTGCATAAGACTCCCATGTATTAAGTCCCTCTCATTAACATTCAGAGGGCCATCACGCAGGTGTGCCAAATACCAAATAAGTTCACTGTACAACATATTGTAGCTGAAGGAAAAAAAAAAAAAAAAAAAAAAGAACAACACACACGCACACAAACAAGATTCTTATAAACAACGCTGGAAGTGCAACCAAGTATGATTATTCAGACGTGTCCAGCAACATGTAGACATGTGCTCTCTCAAGCGTACAGACTCCTAAAAATGTACATGTGCACATACAGGCACTGGCGGTGGACACCTACCAAGAAGCAGACACATTATGCAACCCCAACGACAGAAGGTCCAGGTTCCCTTGAATGGGTGGCAGTTCGGCCTGTGCCAACTCATTAAGAGCACAGCTGGCCATGTGGGTTGGAGTGGAGTAAAGCCACAGGGGTTCTCAGATGAGCTTCCAGTATATTTTCACACAATTGTCAACAAGACAAAAAGTTATTTCAGGCATGTTGTGTATTATATTATTTATACCTATTCAAATTGCAGAGTTATTTGACTAAAGCTAATTAAGCATCTGTAAGTTTTTGCTTCTCCTTTGCTTGTAGAAATGTCTTCAGAAATCAGCCCTGGATCTCATATTTACTTTGTGAAAAAAGCATTAAAACCTTTAAGCCTCTGGAAGAATCTAAATATTATCTTCCTTCACTATAAATAAAACCCTTGAGTTTATCCTATAATTCTACAGCAGCTTACTGTATGTATGTGGAGGCTGCAAGTGCTGAAGTAAATGAAGCAGGAGAATAATGTTTTAAATACAACTGAAAGAACGGAAATGTCCATGACATTTGGTCAACTTAAAGGTATAGTGGAGGATTTTTGCAAAGACCCGCATTCTAAACATGCACATGCACAACCCTGTACCCGCTCCCTAGAGGGGAACATTTATTAAATGCGTGCAAGAGCATGCATGAGCCCATTTGTCCTTGTGCACGCTCTGTGTGAAACTTGCTGTTTCCGCAATGTCCGACTCACCACTGGTAAGAGAAAATGGGGATGAGCGCGAAGGACGGCCTTACGTAAACATATCACCAGAAGGCTTGACAATTAGGAATACCAGTTATTTTGATGAGCCACCTGGAAAAAAAACATCCTCCACTATACCTTTAAAATTTTATGTTGTTCCCACTTAAAAAAATGTATTTGTGGTTTGTAAACAATAATTCCACTTTACCTTTTCATGGAAACACAAACTGAAACAATTAGTTTCCAAATAAATACCTAATTCCAGTCAAAAGTAAAAGTGTCTCTATAGGGTTTTATCTTTTTATGCTGTAACTCATGTGAATATGACCTCATTACCTGACTAATTCAAAATAGTTGTGGCAAGCACAGCAATACCATGAGCAAAGTCACAACTGATGTCTACTCAGTTTCAGAATAGAAATATTTATGATGGGCAGTCATTGATTTAAATGTCTCAGATATCGTATAGAGACAATATTAAGAACTCTGAGGTATTTCAGGTTCTTTAACTTGTTAGGCCGGGCATACATTTTACGATATTTTCAATCGTTTTCAATCAGCAATAGCTCAACTGTATGAGGAAATCGCAGGGTTTAAAAGTTCACAGCTCATAATGTTTTGTTCTTAACACTGTACGGCCCAAGGCTCTGATAAGATCTAAATGCTCTCACACCACGTCCAAAAACCACACGTCGGACTCACTGGACTCGTCAATCTGGATGAAGAAGAACTCCCTTGTTTGCCAATGCGCCGTGCGTGAGGTTCTTGTAAATCGACACGTAGATGCTCGTAGCTCTGCCTTAACAGCAGGATTTGTCCATGAACACCTTATGACTGCTGACTGAATTACAAAAATGTTTGATTTTCTCCCGACCTTACGATTCCTAATCGGGAGATGGTCCTGGGAAGCTAATTGTTCCTTGTTACTCCATGTATATTACACGACGCAAGGCGCATGATGAGGCTGAAACTTGGCCTGATCCAAAAAATTCTCGCACGACTCGAACAGTGTAAGCTCAGCCTTAAAAAACAATAACAGGATGCAACTAATGATTTTTACAATTTTAAAAACGAAAGGTACTAAAGTTATCTTGAATAATAAATCCTGTGTCTGTGGTCAATAAATATAGTTGGATCAAAGAAATAAATGCAATTTCACATTTTTGTCACTAATTTACTCCAAGTTTATACACACATATAATGGTAAAAAATATTTGCAGTTTCTTTTTTGGTCTGAAGGTAGAAAATCCAGAAGTATTGTTTCAGCCATCATTTAATTTGAGAAAAAGTAATTTAAATGTAACAAATTAGAGCAACTTTTTAAAGTTTATCCAAAGTATCTTTTTTTCCGTGTAGGAAGGGACTTACTCAGGTTCCATTTGAGTCCTGTGGTGAGTGTTTGGCAGGGTCCACCTACTGGAATTAGGCTACACCACTCTCCCTCCAGGCCGGTGTTCACCCCCAATCTGTGGTTGCCCTGCAGACACATTTCATAGCACCTTGTCAAATAGCATGTATGTAATACTGTACCTATGAATGCAATGAAAATGTGGAGCAGGACTCGTTTAACTTTCTGTTCTTTTATCCCTGACTCAGCTTCCACACCCAGTCTCCAAGGGTCATTAAAATAAATGATTACTCTTGTCAAAACTGTAGACCTTGTTTTACCTCCCAAAATATAAACTGACCTTGACATATTGAATTACAGTCTGCTGCTGAGTCATAAAGCATTTCCAAACACAGATTTAACTACACTTGCAAGCAGCTTTTATCTGATACTGAACAGTAAGTAAACAAATTGTGTACATTATGGTGTAAAATAACATATTAGTGTAACTTAAAACAGTCTCATAATTATCTGAGGACTACTTGGCGGTTTTAAGTGTCAGACTAATAAAGGGAGATCTATTTTTGAGGGGCTGTGATATTATTATAAATAAAATGCTTTATGCAGAAGCATTCACAACATTTGTAAGGCTATATTTTTTCCTTAGAAACTAGGTTTGGGAAACAAAATATTAAGAATCACACAATATAGGCTGAGGCAAGAGTCCAACTTTTAGGGCAGGATAATTATTTAGCTGTGCAGAAGCTGGATATAATAAAGCCGCATATTTCTATTTAGAAAAGCTGAAAGAAAGCTTCTCACATTCAGAAGTACATAGCTACACAATGTGACAAAGTTTGATCATTTAAAGCTATGCGGCTGAAGGACGCATAGGACATATAGTGCTTTGCAAAATAATCCATACATGTTGACAGGATAACTATGGATAGTGCAATCCACAAATCTTAATGAAAGAAGAGTAAGAAGAAAGCCTCATACAATTCAATAATTCTAGCTTCTAGTTTGTCTCAAGCCATGTAGGAGGCACAGGGCAGGACTTAAACAAACTATTTGAATTACCTGCAAAATAATGAGTGAGGATATCGAACTATGGAAGCATTTTATAAAGCTGGGACAAGAAAGCCTGTTGTAGTGAAAGAACGTTAACAAACAGGGTAACAGTGGCAGAAAACATGCTACCCAGGTTAACAGCCCCAAACATTCAGCCAGCAAAACAATGGATGCTTGTATAGTAGATATGATGTACAGCTGCAAATACAACTCTAATTGAAGCAAAGATTGATCCTACTAAATATTTAGCATGTGGGCTTGAATACAAATGAACTATATATAACAAATATATGATAATTTTGATATTATCATGAACAACCATAATACTGCCTGCTAGATGGAGTCTCACTGCTGTGAATGCAATAAACTGAGAGGAGAAATCAGTTTATTAGTTTAGGTGATAAAAGAGATATTATGGCAGAGTTAGGATAGCGATTTATTGTAACTTATGACCTTCTGACAATATTCAACAATGTCAGCAAAGCAGTTTAATACTGGAAGCCATAAAACGATCAACATTTTTCATAAATTTAGCTGTTAAACATAAAAAAATACATTCAAATTTAACTTTCCAGTTATACACTTGAGTTGGTCTGTCAGATGAAATTTCAATAAAATACATTGCAGTTTGGGATTGTAAAATGAGGAAAGGTTTAAGAGGAATGGAAACTTTTGCAGTGTGCCGTTTCTGACAATAAAATGCTTCTGCTGTAGCATCTTTAAACAAAGTGCTTATAGCAACATCAGTCATCTGAAACTCCAAAAGTGCCACAGATGAACACATCCGGGGGAAACACAATAAACAGCTTAAAATGTATGTTTTAAAAAGAGTTTTCACAGCTTTGCTTGCTTGCACCACAGAGCCAAGGGGAAGAAATAATGGGAAACATCTAAACTATGAAGATTTTTTAGTGCGGAATAAAATCTATGGTTGTTTTCTATACATAAACACAGGCTCTTTGTGTTTGTGTCAAAATAGAAGGCAGGAAACAGAAAAAAACAACAACTAAGAAATATGTTGAGAAAGAATATACCTTATTAATATAAAAGACGAAAAAATGTCCCCAATGCATAAAATAAACATAATGAAATAAAGACAACTTTATGTTAGAAAATACTATATAGGAATGTTCCCATTTATATAAAAGGATAAATTAAAATTACTTCAAATTTCAAAATAAAATCAACAGATTTGGACAGATGATAGTAAACAAAATGCAATAATATATATATATATATATATATATATATATATATATATATATATATATATATATATATATATATAGTGACGCAGGGGGTATCACTGCAAGAAGGTTTCAGGTACGATTCCCATCTTTCTGTATGGAGTTTGCATGTTCTTCTCTAAATTTTCCTTAGGTGTGAGTGTGTGCGTGAATGGTTGTTTGTCCTGTTTGTCCCCGTGTTGCCCTGCGATAGACTGGTGACCTGTCCAGAGTGTACCCCAACCCGCTTCTCGCCCGTTGACTGCTGGAGATAGGCACCAGATACAAAGCTCAGGAAAATATGCTTCGATGGATACATTGGGATGATATTGTAATTCTTTCATTCTAAACTAAGGTCAAAGTTTCTGCACCACCCTTTTTTGTTGTGTTTTATTTATTTATTTAATCAGGACACAGCACATTAATGAACAATCTTATACTTCTGTACAGATTGTAAATGAGGCAGATAATAGCATAGTTGCTAATTTACATCTGTTGTCCTGAGGCAGGAAGACAAAACAACACAAGATCACATAATACAATATCCGTCAAAACACATAGACACACGTTCAGACAATGACATTACAACAATAAAATTAGTGAGTGCATGACTGGGATCTTTTAAGAAACAGTTTAAGGTGCTTTTTAAATGTGCAGTAGTTGGACATTCCCTGATGGGAGGCTGTTCCAGAAGTGACCCTCTGACTGATAGAACAGTTTGTCCAAAGGTTGTTCTTCTGTGGTGGATCTCTAGGTTTCCTCTGGAGGAGGCTCTGGTGCAAATACGTTTGCCAGAAAGTGGAGGTGGGGCTAATCCATTCAGAGCTTTGTAAATCAAACGACTATTTTTAAAATGAATAAAATTTTCAAATTGTGTTAGAGTTACATTTAACAAAGGGGTATATGAAAGACGAACATGGTGCAAAATTACCTTGTAGATAGTCTGACACATTGCACCTGTTTGCAGGTCTGTTCTAGTGGGATAAGAAACATCTTATAAGAAATATTTCATGACAGAGTGGTTTTGAGTCCTTTTTAAAGTCTCTTAAACGTTCATTTAAAAAACAAATTGACAATTTTCCTCTGTGTCTTGAATTGACTGCACTAAATTATTCAGTTCTTTACAAAACATGTCATTCTGACTCAGTTCTTTATTCAAAAAAATTTCATAGTCAAATACTAAATCTGTGCTCTGCTTACCCCGGCACGGGATTGGAAGATTAAACAATACTCAGCTATCGCATTTCATCTTTTACATCGGCTGCTTCACTGACAAGTTTCAGTCCTTCAAAGAGCAGAAAGTAAACAAATTTTGCAGTTTAGAGCTAGAGTCAATGTGCTGGGATGATTTACAGAATAGATTGGACAGATGCATCATTGCACATCCTGTGTCCCACCACAAGCAGAACTGGGCCCCCAGAGTATCTACAGAGGCTGGCTTACAACTCTGAGTAAATTTCACTCTGGTTAACGGAGACTCAATAAAGCACATCACAAGAGAAAAGCGAATCGAGCTCCACGCACCTTCTGTCCCTATGTTATTTATTTATGAGACTCAAATTAGGTAAATTTAGCACTTACACAAGACTTAGACTGATTAAAACATCCTCCAGTTCTGCAGAGACACTGAAAGAAAGTGTCTCTACCCATAATTTAATAGAAGATATGATAATTTTGCAGTGCTTTGAGACTGCAGAAGAAAATGCATGACTTCTGCATATTTCCTAGAGGTGCCATAATTATACAAAGAGACCTTATTTGGGAAACAAAATAAATATGACAAACAGGTGCAACCTTGATTAAATCAGAGCTTGTTTATGGTTCACAGATTCAGAGATTTAATCAAGATGAAGGAACATTGAATTCATTGAATAATGCATGGAAGATAAAAGAGATTTCACCTTTTTATTGAGGGCTTAAAGTTTATAGAGTTTTTTGTGTTTTAATCCATAGTACATAATCTTTGTGCTACCGACTGAGTATCATTTCCCGAGAAAAGCAGTTTAGAGACACATGTCATTGCATGGGTTGTGAAATTATTAGGCAAAAGTTGTAAGCACGTAGAATACATATGTAATTTAAACAAACAGAAGTGGGCCTTTTTTCGAAGGTTAAGCTCACCTTCATGTACGGGCATGTGCGTTCATCAGCTGCTGGCGAATTGGAACTGCGTTGACAAACGAGCTTAATTTACCCTCACTGAAGTAAGATTAATTGGAGGTGTCGAGGTATGAAACTGCAAATGACAACACGCCTTTGGAATAATGACAGGAAGTATGGCGGAAGATCGGGGCGAGAGGGATTCGCTTTTGTCATCAGGAGGCGTCACAGTTAGTTGTTTGTCCCGAGGATTTCAGGATGAAACAAGGCAGCAGAAAAGGTTGGGTGGCTGTGGGTTCAGTGCGTGTTCTAAGAGGCAGATGTTAAATCCACTTGTAAACTTAATCATCAGAGGAGCATGAGAAAGTGGCTGGCATAGAAAAAATGAACAATTTGGGGAGCATCAGGAGATTCTCCAGCTCTTATTCACAACAGCAAATTGGGACAAGACAAGAGTAAAGAAATGTGTTTAGAGAAAGTGAGTGCATGCTTGTGTGTTGAGGTTCTTGAAGTGATTACTTGACAACGAAAAAAAACAAAAAACAAAGTCTTCAACACTCTAATCAACGACGAAGCAGCGCAAGGAAAAACATTTTTTGAGGGAGAATAGAAAATCGGGAGAACACCTGGGAGATGGATGATTGGAAAGTTGTTAAGACACAGCGTTAAGCCTATTGTGAAGAAACTAGATTGTGGGCCTGCCTATGTATGCAGTGATTATTTCAATCTTCTAAGGAATATATGTCAATCAGAAAAGTTCACTTCTTTGGAGGCTGTCATTAGATATATTCAACGCTTTTGTTGGGAAATTAGCTTCATTGCTTTACGTGTTCTGCAAACAGGTGTGAGCTGGTATTAAGAGTCTCCATTTTCCCCTAAAATATAAAACAAATAATATAAAATCTAATGTAATTGTGTTCCATTCCAACAGCAAAAATAAATTTTTTTTTATCTACTACAGTAACACTAAATAAATACCGCTTTAATGCACATTTCTTTAGACATATATTTTTCATTCATTATTATTTCAATCTGGCACACAGACTTCGGCAAAAACCTAAAATAAACAGTTTGTGAATTAGTAATTTTCAAGTGCACCATGTAGGAGGGGCCAAGAGATACCTATTGGTGTCAAATATAGAAGGAATAGAAGGGCTGATCTGGATATACACATTCAATAAAATATATTACACACAGAACATGGAGGATTTTATTCAGTTGTGGGGTTTCAAAAACATTTTATGTACTGTGTCAGATGATGGAGAACTGCATTTTAACAAGCTCCTCATTTAATGATTTTTAACTGACACTTGTTTTACTTTAATAGTGATTTTTAACTGACACTTGTTTTACGTCAATTGTTTATATGTTTGAATTGTGTAAATAAAGTGCTGTTAAAAGTAAAAAAAAAAAAAAAAATATATATATATATATATATATATATATATATATATATATATATATATATATATATATATTAATGAGGTACATATTCTACTGCAAATAGTTGAGTTTGGTTGTCTGCAGAGAAGACCCCTACGCAGCATTTAGGACAACCCCCCCGAAAAAAAACAACAACACTTTTTTATTTTGTGCTCCCTCCTTTACTCTATAGCAGGGCTTTACAATTTGTTTAAAAAAAAGGATCAGGCTGTGAACTTTTTATATCCATCAAAATCAATAATTAACATTTTAAATGTACCTATTTGAAAGAAGGACCAGGGGGAAAAAAAGGATGTATCTAATTTGTAACTTTAACCCTATTTAAAAGCAACCTTTAATAAAAGGTCAGCCTTATCGCCAACATGACTCAGCCTTGCCTTGGGAAGTTTAGAGGGTAAATCCTCTCCTTTGCCTCATCCCCCAGGAGGCAATTTGATTCTTGATTAAAGTTCAACAAAATTATAGATCACTGTATTGGACATATTTTCATATTGGCAAGGTATTTACATGTAACTCTTGTTGCAAAGCCCTATTTTAGAGAAACCTTTGGTAACTCCTACATCTCCTTTGGCATTTCAATGAAAAGGGAACTTTAACACACAAGTGGTAAGATGTTTGAAACCGCAACCTTTAAAAGTTTTGGACCATTTTGACACTAGTAAACAATTATTTTATGATGGCTTGTTAGTATAATGGTAAAGCTGGGTTTTGGGGTTAATAGAGGGAGGAATGTTTAATATAATTTAACTTTATTATTAATCTCACACCAGAGAACTTCACCTCTGCATTTAACCCATCCCCTTGGGGAGCAGTGGGCTGCCACTGTGCAGCACCTGGGGAGCAGTGAGGGGATAAGGGTCTTGCTCAGAGACCCAGAGTGCAGGCTGTGGGGATCGAAACAGGTACTTGCAACCTTCTCACAGCACAAGCACACTGCTCTAACCACCAGGCCAACACTCCCACAGCATATGTGGATCTTTTGGCAAAGAACATTACTGCTGGAATTTGGCAAACACAATTTACTCACAGGTTTGAGTAAATATGCCAAGCTTGTTTCCTGTATGATCAAAACAGGCAGATGTGTCATGGACAGAGCATGGAAGAGGGTTTCAACAGATGCCATGGTCTGGTCAAATCTCCCTGCTAGACCACCTAGTGTCACTATGGTGTCTACCTGTGAAAAGATAGAAAGAGAAAACAATTATTTATAGTCTCTTACTTCTTTTTTTAAGGAAATACTATTCACTAGTATACATTTCATTTGGAATAAAGTTGTGCATTCTGGTCATGAAACACGCACTTTGACAAGGAAACCTGCAAGCGATACCTACAGACTGTGAGATGAAAGTTAAAGGCTCTCTGAGACTTATTTTTCCAGCAGACAGTCTGCGCTTGATCTTTTTATATCCTTAACCAAACTCCTAGACGTTCACAGTCTTTTTTTCTCCAGGGCTTGGAAACATGTTAGATCTCGGGAATGATGACCTCATCCATTTCAATGGTAAAGAGAATTTGGTATTGAAGATGTCAGTAAGTTTAAATTGCACAGCATGTAATAAGCAGTGACGACTTTGATATCCTGGTTGATATAAACCTATGGAAATAAAGGTAAATATTGCTTTGGTTTAATTTATTTCTTACATGATATATATGATGTAAGAAAGGGTTCCTTTGTTCCTTTTTTAAAAGCGTCAGGATTGTCTCAGTGAAATTTGTCATGCGTTATATCAACATGTTCTCTTGCTTTCAGCAAGCATGCAGTGTTCTTCAACATTTCTGTTTTTACATAGAATATTTCCACTTTTTCTCCAATAAAAAGTAGCTCAGATAAAGTTGAAGTTAGAATAAAATATCAGACAAAATGTTTTACAAGTTACTTCCTCCCTTCGGAAATGGAGTTGAAACAAAACGGAGTGCTGAGATTGAGATTATATCAACATCTGGCTGACACCCCCGCATGATGAAACATCGCCTTAACTGTAAACTAGGTTCGGTAAACAAACTCCCTTCTGTGAGGGAGATACACTGACAGAGATAGAAGGGTTTAAGAAAATGCTAATCATGTCGTCAAATTCTTCACTGGGGTTTGATAAAGATCACAAAATAACAGGGAGCAAATTGTATTAAAATTTCACACAGAACTTCCCCCAAACACATAAGCCAGAATTTCCAAACATTAACTTTTTAAACCACAAAAAAATCAAGCATAGTATATACTATTTTTTTTTTTATGTAATCATCACCCCTGATCAGATTGAAACAGCCTCTATTAGAGTATGTGTGCGTTTCACACATTTTACATTATCTTTAATTTCAGCTCCAAATCAGGTTCTCAAACCAAGTCAAATCATATTGCACCAGTGTTACATACTGTATCTAATCCATTGCAGAAGGTCGGCAAAATGGCTATGAGGTTAAAGGGAGGGACAAGACCTTTTTGATGTAGTAATACAATACAGCATCACAAAGGCAGGCTCATAAACAAAGGAGTAGTAGATGACCCCCAGGTGTCCATCTGATATTAGCAATAAACTGACTCAGTGTCTGGTGAACATATAACAGGTTGAGGATGGTAAATAACAGCCATGCTTATAGTGGCTCTGCCTGATTTTACAGAGTACAAGGTAACTACTAGCACTTGTTTTATGCATGCGCTCAGGTCAGACAAACTTTTGTTAGACAAGCGTCAAAACAGGCTGGTAGTCGAGTGGTTAACTCAAAACTAATGTGTTACTGTAGGAGGAAGCTTTCTAATCTTAAAACAATATAATTTCTTTGCAACCTGAAACCTAAATTATACATTCATAGCAAATATTGAGACAAGAGCTGCATAATATATTGAAAACAGGCTCCTTCCTCATTCGTTTTCACACAGATAGTGAATCACTTCGCTGTAAGTCATTAAATCTAATGTGGAAGTGAATTTTATTAAGTTAAAACTCCACTTAAGAATCGGGTAACATAGAGATTTCAGTGACTTTGAACATGGTGGTTTAGGAAACAAACTGCTGATATGCTGGCATTCTCATACATAACCATAACTTGGATTTAAAGAGAATTGTGAAAAAGAAGAGAGAATGTCCTTTGGATAATAGATTTGTGGGCAAAATGCCTTGATAATATTTTAAGGAGAATGAAGACACTAGCTTGAAAACAAAAGCAGTAGCTCAAATAACCACGTATTCTAAGCAAAGTACATGAAATGCCTTTTCTGAAAGAACATTCTGAAAAAAAATCATCATGGGTAGAGGAAGACACGAGTGGGAAAAATTTTCATTTAGAAAACATGCTATCCTAGCTTCGTCCTGAACAGCTTACAGCATATAAAAAAGTCCAGAAAAAAGGCAGCAAAACATTAGCAAATAGAGTTTTTTTTGTTAAATTTTTATCAAATTTCAATAAACATCCAATACAGCTGATAAAAACATACAGTGATAGAGAAAACCTAAAAACACAGCATCTGATGCGTATATAATTTTGGAAAAGTACAGTGAAAAATTGCACCTTAACCTTTAAGAAATAGTCATCTTAATGTTCACTTTACATTAATGCTTTTTTTTGGGTGGCTGCAACACATTAAATACTACCTAAGAGCATGACCTTTGGGTTATTGCTTTTTAAATGTTTTACTAAAAGAAAAGAACTATAAGGGAGGGGAAAAAAGCATGAGAGAGTAAAGAAAATTTCAGTAAGCAGGCTGTTTAGAACCAGCTATATTGCTTAGTTGAAGTAGCTGAAGCCTGCAGAGAGAAACCTGTAAGACCTACACAGAAACCTGAAAATGATGAACATATCATTGCAGAGATGAAAATTAAAACATGGGGTGCTGTCTTACTATAAGCACAGACACAAAAACAGCAATTTCCTTAACACATGCACAGTATTCACGAGATAAGAACCTGAAGCCAAGGTAGACACATTCTGAAAAAAAGCACCTAAATCCACTATAATCCTTTGACACGATTCCTGGGGATTTTAAAATCCTATTATTTCACTGAAATATTTCATTCTCTTAAAAAAAAAACGCTAAGTGGATTGAAATTTGCCAAGGTGAACAGAAAGGGAATATGAAAATGCATTCTATTAAGTTCTTAGAAAAGTTTAGCTTTTCTAGTCCTATTCTGATTACTAAAGAGAGAGCCATGGTTCAAGTATGAGCAATAATGGGTAAGCAGGAAAAATCTGTGACAAATAAGAGCCCTCAGCAGCAAATGGTAAAAGAAAAAATAAATAAATCAAAAAGCATTTTGAAAGGCTCCTATCTTTTGCAAACAGGCTGACTAATAAAACTTCCAGCCCCATTACAAAAGCTTAAATATTAAATTAAATATTAGTCAAGCTAAGAAAAGAAAATCTTAAAAGATTCACGCAAACTGTGACAGGAACAATCTAAAAACCTAAAGCATGGTTACATGTGTGTACGAAAGAGGAAGTGCATGTTTGTGTGCATCAAAGTCCCTGTTCCATGGTCTTTCATTAGCTTTGAAATGTGAAGTGATTGGCACACTCTGCAGTGATTGGGGCAACACTCAACATGCTGCTTACACTGATACAAGAGAAAGGAAAAAGATATATAATGAACGGGAATGAAGGGAGCAAGATTTGAAAGAAGCAAAACACAAAGCAGAACTCATGAATATACCATCCTTGTAAAAAACCTTATCACTACTTGATTATTAGTTCAATACTGTACAAATAAGGCTGTAATGATTATTTAAAAAAAGTATTTTAAAACAACCGACTATCTCTTTGAATCTTATTTGCAGGTTTATGAGCTGAATGTTATTATTATGTCTCCAGGAAAAGATAGGCAGGCTTTGGTAGTTATCCCCTGGATGGAGTTTTTTTAACATTACACCCAAACACATATCTCAGCAGGGATTTGCCATTAATAAACATAGTACAACACTACTGACCTCTGAACATCTCTTCTTAAGTACCTGTTGAAAGCATCAATTCTGGGTGTTCAGAAAGAGAGGACAGCTAACTTTCTTGTTTTAAACTAGGATCCATGATAAAATATGAAAAAAATGCTAACAACATGTGACATAAACATTTTTAATGGAATTTAACTAAGTGGAAGATGAGCTGGAAGGAAATAAATATTCCTACTACTCAAATTGACCTGTTTGATATTAAGAGATCCAAGACTCAAAAATATGAGCACATATTAAAGATGTATGAAACAGATATTGCACAAAGATTCTTAATTTGAATATGAAGATTGCAGTGAGAGTCTAGAGTCAGAAGATCCTACAACATTAAAACACTAAAAGGTTTCTTCTAATAATGATGTTGGTCTTGCAAAACGGCTATCTTCTTGCTGTGTCAGCATGAAAACTTTTAGCAAGTAAGTCTAAATTTTTATGAAGAGGCGCAGACATCAGGGCGAGTGTTTGAACTCTGTCAGCCTGTATTTATAAGTAAAACAGGCTAGAATTGTCCAACATTTCTCTTTTCCTAATGTCAGAATAATAAAAAAATTAGATGCATTCTTAAACTTTTTAAAGTAAGAATTTCACAGACACACATTTTCTACAGCCCTGATATAAAAAATGTCTGCTGTCTGAAAAAGATCTGTAAACTGCTTAATTTGAGGAAAGTAATAAAAAAAATCTACTGAACTGGTGCAGAAGGAAAAAGATTCAGTCCAATTCAATGCAGAACACACATAGGTTTGCCAGTGTGTGGTATGATTTTTCTTCAGTGCATCCATCAAGAGAGGGGTCCTTTACTTACATTATCAATAATAAAGCCTCCCTATATTTTTCTGTATTACAGCATACTGGTTGGTGGGAACAGTGACAAACAAGATAAAAAAATATTAAAAGCAATGTATTAAATTATCAAAGCAAACCACATTATACTAATAATGCTGAAGTTAACCTCTGCATTACAGGTTACCAATATGCTTTCCCCCTTTTATAAGAACTAAACTTGATCATGAAAAGGGAGAAAAAAAACGGGCTCTTCAATTATGTTGGATTGGATTAAAATACTGATCAGGCAATTTGGACAAAAACTTACAGTTTTTTATGTAAAGATTGCTGTTTTCTTCTTTTATTTTGGGCCACTGTGGGTTAGATGTCCCAGGAAAGGAGAGTTTGATATTTTAAGGTCTTATTTTCTGTAGTTGGTGACATTGTTTTAGAAACCAATTTTCACAGCTGTAATTTATCTTGTCTTCAATGCTCTAATTTAGTCAGGTTCTTGACTATGTCACTTTATCACTTCCACTAGTCTCTTTGAGAGTAACAAAGCAGATACTTTTGATGTGAGACATGCTGCTCTGCAAAGAGGCAAACATCTTATTAATTCCTTTGAGTTAAAAAAATGGGTCACAGGACTTCCCCTCTTAGACTCAAGAGGGATTCTTGATATCTTACCGTCTCCCCTTTACTTCATGCATCTTACATTTGAATAAAAGTATCCTAATTTTCTTTTTTCGTGATGTAAAATGCACTAAAAGTGAACAATCTGTACAAAAAAAGGGGATATTTCAAGGGCGCACTCCAAATTGTACAAAACTAGCAAAACAAAGTCAGAAATATGTACTGAAAAAATTCACTTAGGAAATGTCCTTTTGTAAGGAAATATTTTAGCCAGTTAAACATTTTCATTTAATATTAAAGCAACAACTTTTTGCCAAGTATTAGCTAGATTTTAAATAGGTATTATTCTGCTAATTATTTTTCAAGTCAGTATAAAACACTTGCCACATATCAATGATCTAGGCGGACTGCTCTTCTCAATAACTCGGCTTGGTAACTTAAAAGGGTTGAACTTGTCACTAAAAGAGTCATTGTGGCAGTCTGAGCCCCCCGTGAACACAGCAGTTAACTAAGCTAAAAGTTTTTCTTAGCCAAAAAAAAAAACATTGACGTGACACTCTTTCAGACTAATTTTTGGATCTCTGGTGTAGGATTCAGATGGGTGAATGATTCTTTGTCATTACAAGTAACTCCATAACCCCTCAATCTTCTGGTCCAAAGTAGTCTGCTGTCAAGACTCCAAAAATGGAGGGAAACTACTTCATGTTGTCACAGTGCAGTGCGGCCAGATACTATTAGGGAGGCTAAACCTGAACGTTACAGGTACATAGCCCCTAATGGCTAAACGTTAGATTGTTTTAGAATAACAGAACAATTTCCACCTTGTTGAAACAACTAAAAACCTTAAAGGAATAGTACACCCAAAACATGATTAGCCTTCATTTTCTACTCACCCCCATGCTGAACAAAACTCTGGAGTACTTTTTTGATATCTCAAATGCATCTGGAGATCTGGGAGGCTTCTTGCTGTCTGCTGACATTCAAATAATGGAGGTCTATGGTGACCGAGACAGAAAGGTCCATAAAAGTCCACAAAAACGTGTCAATATTCCTCCATACTGCTCGTCCAATGTAATCCAAGTGTCCTGAGTGGGTAGCATCCAGAATTTACTTGAAACGAAGTCATTTAGAACGTTTTAGAGCCTAAACAGTAGTGTATAGGATTTCCTAATAGCGCCCCCATGCGCGCTCACGATTCTACGGAAGCCGGCAGACCAAACCGGAAGAAAGTGCGCATTCAGCGTCTGCTCTGCCGATAATGCAAGCGTAGAAGAAGAAATGTGCTGTTTACCTGTGCAAAGAAAGAAACAACGAAAGAAAAATGTCTGAGGACTTCAGTGTTGAGGAAGAGCATGAGTTCTTTGCCGAGCTGAATGTGCTGGTTTGGTCTGCCGGCATCCGTAGAATCGTGAGCGCGCATGGGGGCGCTATTAGGAAATCCTATACACTACTGTTTAGGCTCTAAAACGTTCTAAATGACTTCGTTTCGAGTAAATTCTGGATGCTACCCACTCAGGACACTTGGATTACATTGGACGAGCAGTATGGAGGAATATTGACACGTTTTTGTGGACTTTTATGGACCTTTCTGTCTCGGGCGCCATAGACCTCCATTATTTGAATGTCAGCAGACAGCAAGAAGCCTCCCAGATCTCCAGATGCATTTGAGATATCAAAAAAGTACTCCAGAGTTTTGTTCAGCATGGGGGTGAGTAGAAAATGAAGGCTAATCATGTTTTGGGTGTACTATTCCTTTAAAGTGTAGTGAAGTAATAGAAAGTAAGGTCATTTATTCTGTGTAAAAACAGGTGAACCTTATCTTTGAACAATGACAGCAAATGCATTATACCTGTTATGGTGAATTCCTCTCTAAAAAATATCATAGTTAAAGATTTTTTCATTCCCTGCTATAATACTGTTGTGTCTGTTCTACTTAACGATGACCAAGGATCATAGATAGACATGAAGGCATCAAGAACCGATGCTGTCTTACGTAAAAAATGACATGTAATTAAGTTAGCCGTTTACATGAAAACAACCCAAAACACAATGAATAGGTAGGGAACTATTTAGTTGCACTTTTGACGTTATAATTAAATGCACAGCCCAATCCTCAGACCAGAGTACAACAGATAACTTGTGTGCCGACACGAAAAAATAACAAATCTGAGGAAAAACTAAGACACATGGAGAAATTGGGGGTTTTAGTACAGAAGTTGGATAATTTTATATGACTCAGATGTGTAGCAGTTCTCAGAAACAGAAGTGATATCATCAATCCTTATATTATTCGTAGATGAGTTAACTGGGGCATTTTTTTTTTATTTATATAATACATGTTTACGTTTTGGGTTATATCATTTTAGATATTATTAAGATAGTTTTCTATATGTTCTGTGTTTGCAATAGCATGTGTTCCCAATGCACTAAGGTTTACTTACTTGTTAAAAACACGACTATTATTTTGAACAGATTTTGCAAAAAAAAAAGGAAGACATGGTTTAAGACGTGGATTTAGATATGGTCAAGTTTAATAAACAAACATTTGAGCAATAAAAAAAAAAAAAAAAATATATATATATATATATATATATATATATATATATATATATATATATATATATATATATATATATATATATATTGCCATTTGAAAGCTTGAAAGGAAACTTGAAAGAATGAAAAACATTTCTCAGTAATACAAGAATGTATTTTACCTGCAACTGCCGTGTCTGTATCTCTTCCAGCATTATGGCAAGACATTTGGTGTAGTCTGTTAGATCCTGGTCAGCTGTTTCTATCAGCTTGCAACCCTATAGACACAATGACAAATTAAAACACACATGAGAGCAACAAAACATGATTCAATATTTGTTTCACAGCACAGATAGTGAAGCAAAAACCCAGGGAGAGATAAGGAAAAGCAGAACAGAGAAAAAAAATAATAACAAAGGGATGCAGACATGGAGGGAGGTATAAATCAGTGTTTTAGTGCTGTCTAGCTTCCCACGGGTTCTGTTGCTGAATAATGTAGAGGTTCCAGTCAGTGGCCTTAAACTACAACATCTAGGTAAACAACCATTTTTTCCCCATACCATCTCCTCTTCTCTCCACCGAGTCACCTTGCTTCTAAAATGTGCCTTCTTCTTCATATCACTGGCGCACACATACAGCAACAGCAAGTTCACACAAAACTTGCTTGCTGCGTTCTGTTTGATCACATCCATTCACCCTTCACTCCCCTCCTCCTTCCATCATTTTTCCATCCCTGCTTTCTCATTGTCTCCCCCTCCCTCGTGGATGCATTTCTGTTCTCTCTTTTCCATTTATGCAGAATTATTCACCGTTTGCGGCAAATCTCTAAAGGAACGCCTCAAACTTTCCAATTGTTCTGCTTCAAAAGAATTACCATAGCAGTCTGTTCTCTCTCAAGGAAAAAAAAGGCATTGCTTTTTTTTCCTCCACACAACCTGTGTGATATTTGAGAAAAAAGGTCTACTATTAGAGATAGTTACAGAGGAAGGGAAAAGAGTGTCAAAGCTAAAGGAATCCCGAAGTCTGTGATGGTGGTGTGTTAACGTACAGATTGTGTGCATGTACAAGTAATTACGTGCCCACATATTTAAATTTCGGATCTGCAGCAGTTATGCTTAGTATGACAAAGAAGAGACCACACATACTCTGTATTTATTTTTCTCAAAGGCAAGTGTATGTGCTTACATGCTTGACTGATTTCCTGTGCATTAATTATTTATTGAACAGAGCCTGTAGTTTGACATTCTTCTGGCTAAAACAATGGGCAGACCACCACATGGATTGATTTGCACTTTTTATAACCCTGGATACTTTATGTTTCAACTGCAGAGGCTTTCGTTCGTGTTAGGTTAATTCCTTAACCAAACTAAAGTCGGACAACAAAAGATGGAGATGGCTTCTGTATGTTCTTTGTTTACCATGACCCAACCAAGCAACTATCTGCACAGTTATTTACACTATTACATGTCATACTTTCCAAAAGTTGTGTATGTGGTACTTAAAAAAAAAAAATAAAGAAAGTGAACGTATGAATTTACAAGTGAGTGGAGATGCACCGATCCAGTTTTTTTCTGGATCCAATCCAATACTGATACCTGGGCTGAGCATAGTGGCTGATATGCCATAACAATCCGATTCTGCAGAACTGCAGAATGAATGAAGCATTTGGGTGAAGGCTTAAGCCTTGAAATAAACATTTTGTAAAGGCAAGAAAATAACACAAGTATAAATGTAGTTTATGTCATTTATTAGGCATCAAAAAGTAGGAAATAACAGCTCCATGTAAAATGAACTAGATTGGATCTCCGACATCCTATATCAAATCACCAATATCTGATCCAGCTAATTAGTCAATATCAGAGCCGACATCTGATCCAAATATTCGATTGCTGCATCTCTACAAGTGAGTGAACTAGTGTTAATTCAAAATAAACTGGGCTACAGTAAACATACAGCAGCTTAACCAGAATCAGTAAATTAAACGTATATGGACACATGAAGGTTTGGTGGAGTTTCAGATAAAAGATATTGACAGAAGAAATAATTTTTTTTATCGTAAATACAAAATATATATTTTTTTATCAATTTTGTGTGTCACTCTATCAGCTAAAGTTATGTTTTAGAGTCTCTATACTCCATTTAACGATGAATCAAATACTATATTAGTTGACGATTATTTCAATAATCAATTAATCACGATTAATCCAATTGTTTAATACCTAGTCTGCTGTTTGTATATATATATTTATGGTCTAAATCACAAGTCTTTGACCTCTATGTTTGCAAACTGTCACCTGTTGGAGCTGTTGCTCGTCCACCATGTTTTTCTGAGCTGAGATCTCTGCGTAATTACCAGTTTTCCTAGGTGTACGGTGCAGATGTTCAGTCCATGAGGATGCAGTGCAAAATGGCATGATGGGTACTACTGATTGTGACAGCAGTGATTTAAAAATTTTTTTAAAACACTCACTAAAGTGACATTTTTTTTAATGAACATTTATGTAAGATTATGCTGTATCAAAATAAAATATTTTTTATGTATAATACATTTATCTAAAGGCTTTTGGTACATTTTCTAAACCATGGGTCCCATAAAATGGGGCCTCCGTTTTATTTCGAAGTAATAAAAGACATATTTCAGACTTTAGAAAATATTCTAAAAATGAAACAGACAGGGTATTAGGAGAACTTTTGTTCTCAGAACTGCTATGTTAAAGTCAAATCACTTCTGAGTGTACAGTGTTAAAAAAAAAAAATGTGATCCACTCACCTTGTCTGCATAGAAAGCTTTAACCTCTGCTGTAATGGAATCGAAATCCCCACTGATGTAGTCAGGAAGAAAGCTGGATGTAAGGACAGAAAGAGAGGGTGAGTGACAGAGGGAGAAGGTTAAGATTGAAAAAGAGTGCAAGTCAGAGATAGAAGGGAAAAGCAGAGAGACAACATAGGGGCATGTGTCAGTTCTTTGATCTGTGCAGGGAGGGAGAAGAGTGACGGCGCCGGGGGAGGATGAGGAGACATGAAAACTGACAGGGTGATTCTCTATGGCGCTGAGCCTGGCCCTGTCGTGCTCACAGGGCTTGCGGCAGATGTAAAGATTGATGGAAAAGCACACCAAAGCAAACATGGTAGCATCCAGAAGCAAAAGTTGGTGTTTATGCTCTTATAATTAGGTACACAGGGCTTGATAAACTCAAGCAGATCAACATTTCAGAGTAATTACAGGCTGGGGGGTAAATTTGCTCATTAGTCATAAACATTGTTATAAATAGATATGCGTCTATTGCCATCTCTCTCTCACACACACGGCAAACAGAGCACCAGGTGTAAATCAGGTTGACCCAGTTAAATGTTTTTATTTCAGCTTTTTAAAGTAGTTTCTTCAGGTCACCGATGATCCAATGTTTGTTGCTTAATATCCGTTCATGGTTTTGGTGGCTTTCCAAACAGAGGTTAAGGTGGTCTGTCACTCAACTGTGGCATAGATGTCAGGAAAAGTGCATCGATCCCCCTAAGTGACCATTCTCTTATTTTTTATCACAGCTTACCTCTGAACCAGGGCTTCATGCATTCAGCAGAGAAAAACAAGATCTGAATCTGAGAGGTGCATCCATGCCTGATTTTGAATAAAACATATCCAATGTTTTTTGTTGTTTTATTCTTCTTGTAGAAGAGTTGACAGACAGGTACAATATAAAAAGTGTAGAGTTAAAGTGTATGGTTAAAACCTGTAGATATTGCAACACATGCATTAGGTCATTGTATTTTTAGCGTATTAACTGCTGAAATGGTTGAATAGCACAGGCAAAGTATGCAAAAGCTAATGAGAGCATTTACACTGCTAGGGCAAAGCTGAGGTGAACTCTCTTGGATCATACTCTGATAAAAAAATGACACTTACCAGGTCTACAAGGCAAACAGAAACGATAGCACAGTACCATGTTGAGATTTATATTACATGGGGTTAAAATATCTTAAAGGTGCAGTAGGAGATCTTTTCTAACGCATTTTTTACCATGTGGCCTAAAGTTTTCCCCACAGCCGCGTAGCAAGCAGTGAAATAGAAGGTCAAGAAGTGAAACTAAAATAAATGGTGCCCGCTAAAGTGAGAAATCAATGAATAACCTCAACCAATCAGAAAAGACGGTCCGTTGTACACGATTGGTTCCATTGGTTCAATCATGGACGTCTCCTTGTCCCTCTCCCGGTTGTGCGTACCCTGACACATGAACGAATCGACCCACCAATGCTTGTGCAGGACACCATGGGTGGAAGCTTGCCACTGTTATGCTACGTTCACACCTAGGGTGACCAGATTTGGGTTTCTGAAAAGGACAACAATTTTTTTGGGGGGGAAGGGGGCTACTGGGGCCACTGACTGGACCGCACTGGGAACCCCGTTGGCCGGGGAGGGAGCGACCGAAACGGGCTTCCCCCCCGACTGCCTTACCAGGCAGGCAGGCCAGGCAGTGTTGGGCTGTGGTGTTCGGCTGGTAAAACAAACATTTTGCACTTAAGCGTTGTGCACATGTACAAAACTTCCGGAAGTAAACAACAACATTCAACAAGTCTATATCACATGCAAACATGTTTTTACGCACAAAGCACATCTTCCAAGGAGGTGTAGTGATTTGCCTTCTCAATCAGCAGACAGCAGATGTGTGTGTGATTTCGTCAACATGCACATCATATTGTAATGACTAAATTGTGCAAATTCATAGGTGGAGGATATGCAAATGTAAAGAATGTAACAATTGCAAAGCGATTTTTTCTGATCTAAACTTCCACAACGTCTGTAGTTTTTGTGTCTTTTTTTAGCAAGTTATAGTGGCAACAAAAAAGGCATTGGTGAAATTGACAGTGTGAATTCACAAAGGTAGAATAATATCAGTAAAGAACAAATATTGACACAGGCAGGTTAAAAATAATGCAACATGATGGCAAACAATCTTTATACAATTAAACCAAAACAAAAGAAAGAGACTGAACTGAAATATTGTGGCATACTTTTTTTCTGATAGACTATGTTAAGTGCATTATAAATAATATTTAGTATTGCTATTGTCAGTATTTAAATAATCTTTGCCTCTATTACTTCAAAGAACATGGCTTAGAATCTTGTCTTCTTTTGCAAGTCTTAACATTTATGCAGTTATCTTTGTAGACCAACAGCAACACAGCCACTTATCGCATGCGCAAAGAAAAAATAAACTTGCTATCCAGAACCCCTTATTTGGAAACTTAGATGAGGCTCTGTATTTGGAAATCAGCTAACCCTTTTGCAATTCTTTAATGAAGAATTACTAGTTCATTAAATTGCTTGAAGGAAAAAAAAATCTAACTTGGACCTACTACAAACCCCTGACTTTTAAATCAAATCGAAGTGTGTACCTGCAGGCACAGAACAGCCCTCCGTAATGGTAATGATGCTGTTTTGGGTAAAGGAATTCATAATTCACGTTAGTGAGAGCAGCCAAAATTATAGCATCCTCTGTAAAGGAGAATATAATGTCAAAAGAGAGAGATAAAACTCTGTTTATTCCATTTATATGTGTGTGTATTTGTGGTTATGGAGTAAGAGCATGCAGGGATACAGTTGCTGCTATCTGAAGGCATTAACAGGTCTAACATTACGATTTTATGGTTGGCTGGGTATTCTGTTTGTGTGCATTTGTTTGTGAGTGCTCTACGGCAAGCTGCGAAAGCTATGTTCCGGTCGGTTGAAGAAAGAGATACATGAGGATTACCCTCTCCCTTTCTTATTCTGCATTTCCATTTCCTTAAAAAAGAATCACCAGGACAAACACAACACAAATTGCATTTAATCAGCTGTTAGAAACTTGTGTACAAAATAAACACACCCCAAAACTATGGCTGAAGAAAGCACTTCACTGAAATTGAAGCAAAGCATGATCTATCTGCAAATCTCCCTTTTCCTCTAACAGAGGCTCATTTAAAGATAATGTGATCACACACACTTGTAATGGTCCACAAATAGCCACAAATGTGCCTGCAATTTTTGTGAGTTGTTTTATTAAATAGAGTCCCACAATTGCAACTTCATTCAGAAATAACCTTCATGTGACTGATGCGAAGAGATGTGTCACTGGTCGTGATCAGAGCAATGGACAAACAGACCCAACACACACTCAGACCTCTTTATGACCTGCCTGCAAGCCACATTCGGCAGCAAGTAATTGACCAGACGGGAGTCTAAATTCTGCATTTGTGTCTGTCTGTATGGGCATAAAAGCTGTTTGTGTATGTGGTTGTGTGTCTGCATCTTGCATGGCTGACAGTCTTCACTTTCACATTAATATTAACTGACAGTTTAATTTGGATGGGAAATAGAGCATTTTACTAGCAGTTTGTCGGAGCATCGGTGGCTGGGATGGAAGTGTGACCTTTGTCTGTCTTTGGCTTTGTACGTATAAAAGTGTATGTGTGTGTATGTGTGCATATTTTTCTCTCCATCAGTCTGCATTTGTTTCTCTCTTCTCATTTTCCCTGTTAACTTTACCCTTATTTCTCCCCAACCCCTCTGGAAAGTTCTATGAAGGTTTCTTTTCAGGCGTCAACCCTCCCCAACTACCCCTGATTTAACTATTTTATTTAACGTAAAACGTTAATATCTAGGAACATTCCCAAAACATCAAGAACACCATATCTTAGGATATATACTTAATACTCTAATGCATATTTTGTTAGTAGTGCTACTAGAGATTAAATTTTTGCTTTATAGTCAGATGTTTGATTTGACCAATTTGGGGATTTAATGGTCCTTCACAATAGTTGAATGAGGATACACAATAAAACTTCAAAGATTTTTTTTTTAAGGTCTTGGAAGTTTGAAAAAACTGTTAATAAAGAACAAAACATTTGGATGGATGTACCACAGAAATAGGGCCAACCTGTTACACTTAGCCTTAAGAAAGCTGGTTATGATAATTAAGAACAACCAAGGAAGGAAATAAGGTTAGAATAAATCAAATTAATTGTAATGGTTTGTTTATGGCAATAATCAATAAATAATTTAGTAATCCAATATCATTTATTGGATTACAGACTATTAAACTTGCTATTAGCTGTGTGTACATAAGTGGGTAATAGAGACTGACACGGGAGTGGATTTTAACTCCTGTCCCGTCCCACTCCTACAAAAAGAAATGGTGTCCCGTCCCGATCCCGGGCCAGAGCAGAAATCTAAATCCTGTCCCGTCCCACTCCTGGTGAAATTACACCCACTCCCATCCCGCTCCCATTCAGAATGACTCCCGCTCCTGCACCACTCCCATTCTTGTTGTTTTTGAGCGCGGGTGAAAAACTCAGAGCGGAAGTTACTATTGGTTTACTCCCGCTCCCGTCTGCTCCCGTTAATGTTTAATCCTGTACCGTCCCAATCCCGTGATCATTACTAATACTGACTCCCATCCCATGGGAATCCCGTGACCCATGGGATTCCCGAAAAAATGTCAGTCTCTAGTGGGTAATCAAACATCCATATGACATACATATGTACTGCATATCTACCAACATACATAGCTACATAAAATTAAAAATACAGAAAAATAAATTGAACCTGGTTCATATTAGATTTACTTAGTTCAAGCCTGTAACATCATCAGTGACCCCTCATGCCCCATCCATGGACTGTTCTCCCTGCTGCCGTCTGGGAAGAGGCTTCACAGCATCTGCTGCAGGTCTAGCGGGTTCTGTAAAAGCTTTTCCCCCACTGCCATCAGACTGTTGAACTGTTGAAAACTCTGATCAAGTCACACATCGAAACTCTGCATCACATTAATAACATCATACTTGCACTACATGGTGAATCCTCAAAATAGAA